AAAATCCATCTGGATTGGCACTATGATCCATCTGGATTTTATGAGAGATCTGTCTGTATAGAAATCTAAGAATTGGAACTATAATCCACCTGAAAATCATGAGACATCAATCTAGATATTCATCTTAGATAACTAGCATAAATCTATATAGACCAATAAAATCTAATTGGAAATCCACCTGGATTTTAGGTAAATCCATATTGATCAACAGAGAAATCCACCTGGAAATCCACCTGGGTTTTGATTAAATCCCTATGGATCGACCGAAAAGTCGACCGGAAAATCCAACTGAATTTTGGTTAAATTCATATGGATCCCATCTGAAAAGCTACCTGGATTTTTGCTAAAATCCACGTGGATTCCACATGGAAATCCATTATGGAAATCCATAAAAAATCCATATGGAATCCATAAGAATCCAGCTGGATTTTTTCAATAGGGAAATGAGTTATTAACTTTGAGTATAAAGGTAAAGGTATAATTGTTCGAGATTAGTGCAAAATTTTGGATAACATAAGATTTAAAATAAGAACTCATATACTTCCATATATTTTATACCTTTAGTACTTTTTTATAGGTCGTACGTTAAAATCAACAGTACGGTCAAATTCTACACAAAAAAATACAGGGAAAACTTGTGTTCCATTAGAATTGAAGGACATTCTAGCGTCATTTAGAAATATGATATACGTGTTTTTGATGTATTTTTTACGTAGAATACGGTGGTGTTATTAGATTTATGATATGACGTACCTGAAAGATGCTGAATGAAAAACTACGCAAAAATCCTGATATTTGTGTTTTTTCAGTGGTTTTTTACTTTTAGCACTTTTTCGGTACATACTATAAAAAGTACTACGATAAAACTAATAGCACCATCGTATTCTTTGTCATAAAATACATAGAAATCATGTATAACTTATGGTATACGAAAATGATCCATGGGACCGTTCGGAAAACTCTCTCAATTCATGAAGTTCTTGAATCGAACGTTTAAAATTGAAAATCATTAATTTTTTTTTCTCGGCTCACAATCAGAAGGCCTACGCGACAAAATGGTAAAATAGAGTATTTTTTTATATAGAATACGCTCAATTTTCCCCGATTCATTCGGCCTATCCTACCTCGTGATCTCTCCTTGTTAGTTACTTTATTTGTGTGAAAATGAACAAAATATGATAATTGCTATACTTAAATTAATTAACATAAATTACTTCTGATTTAGATAAGTCGGAGGATCAATTTACGAGTCTCTTATAATTAAAATCATGAATTTGATGGCGTTCAGATACGACACAAGGTGATCGCCCACATTAATAATTACAGTGTGAATACCGTGGACGCAACTTACAAACAAAGTACGCTGAGAGCTCTCTTACTTACTAACTCACGTAATCGCCGCAAATTGTATAAAGGAGATCACCAGGACACGTCCACCGCGAGCTGTCTCGACGATGTGGGCCGAGTTGGGCAGATCAAGTTGGAAAGTGAATTGGTTGACACTACGTGCGCACGCGTCACAGGGTTGCGTGAGCGGTTTGCACTATTTATGCGGTACTCGAATTTGCAAAGGCGTTCGTATATGTAACTATTTTATACCACCTCAAATGGCTGATTTTCCTAGAAACAAATAGTTACGCTTCGGGTCGCAGACAACAACGAACTGAACTGGTTATTGCCTTCTTCTCAACCGATGATACATCTTGACCACTCCCTTTACCCTAGTCATTAAGGGAGAGGGAAAGAAAAATGTTACAGATAGACCGTTGTACCCACATCGGTCAGGCTTTGCTCGCTTCCAGCTGCACAGCATGTGTTGAAAGGACGTAACTCGAGAACTAATGATTTATAATACAAACCGGGAAAATCTTTGGTTTAAAAGAGCGAAACATGTATTAGCCCACTGTCGAGCGTGACTATGATTTTCACAGGTATACAAGATTTTATATTACAAGCGAGCTATAGTATTCCCGAAGGATTTTGGTGCCCTGAATCCAAATCTATTCTCAGAATTGTTCCATCATGTCAAATTTTTAGATATCCTAACCCTGAAAGTGTAAAAAACACTGTTTTTTACATATTTGAGGTTATGTAGCATCATAAATAAATTGTTTCACAATAAACTATTTACAGCATCTAAAAGTATAAATTGTCCCCTTTTAAATGCCATTGAGTTTGCCCAAATATCCTTTTTTTTCGCCGAGATATCACATTTTGAAATTTTTATATTTATGAATTTCTCAAAATTCGAAAATCCGTTAATGTATATTAACCTGGTTTAATATAAATATAATATAATAAATTTAATATAATAAATTAATTAATAAATAAGAAATTCTATGTTAGCAAAATACTTAGATATTTTAAATCATATATAATCATCATATACGAGAGTCGTTCAATAAGTCCGTGCTTCTCAGAAGATGGTGGTGTTATCGTAACGTATTTTACACTGTAAAAGAATCCCATCTAGTATAAGTGCATATATAAATTTTCAACTCAATATGTTCGTTTGAAAATTTTTTAGTCATTTCAATTCAGTCTATTATTATTTTTCATTCCAAAAAAAATCGTAGAAAAAAATAAGTTTGGTATGCTTATGAAACATACCTTTCTACGGGGAAAATCAATCAAAGAAACTGAAAAAAAGCTCTGGAAATATTATGGAGACTCTCCTCTATTGCGTGGTATGATTTAAGAGTGGTTTACTGAATTTCGTTTTAGCCGTAAGAGCACAAGTGATGCTAAATGTCCTATCTGTCCAAAAGAAGTAATCACTCAAGACATGATTGATAAAGTTCATGATATTGTACTCGTCGATCATTTTTTTTTTTAATTCACGGATTTATTGAACGACCCTCTTATGACATCAAAATTTTTTTGAATATATTATAACGAGCAGAAATTAACCTAGTTATATCTCTCTCTCTTCTTTGTGACGGTGTAGGCCCGTCATGGCCTGCACCGTGTGCTTGCCTCCCTCTCCTTCTTAGGCAAAGGCGCACGGCCGGCATCAAGCGCACGTTATTATTACGTGCCTGATGCCTGCCCTTTTATTTTTCAGCTACGCACGAGAGCGGTGGAAGGAGAAGCCGTGGACGCGACGACGCGTTCGAGTATTGAGTGCGAGAGAGAGAGAAAGAGAGAGAAAAACTATAGTTTAAGTTGGGCTTGGCGCGCGGCACTTGTCGCGACGGGCATTGCCGCGTGCCGCCGATTAGGCGAGTGGTGGGAGAAAGCGTGAGAAGCCGGCTCTCATGCACTCGCGAGAGAGTGACGCGACGCACGCGACAGCAATCAGTCGTACGAGAGCTGACCATCGCTGCCTGTCCTTTGTCTGGAAGAAGTCAGCATTCCCCAGCAGATCGGCCTGACGGGACTTCCTCTGCCAGCGACGCAGCAGTTGCCCTGCAAGAAGCCGTCATCGAGGCAGAACCCGACAGCCTTTTCTGCCAGGTCGCCGGCCACGCAACAGCGAGGGGTTTTCCAGCCTAGTCGCCGGTGGGACACCTTCGAGGCCGCCAGCAACAGCGACGTCCACCAGAATTTGGTCAGGTCACCAATTCCTCTCTCTCTATATCTCTTCCTTTCCTCGGCGATTCTCACGGTTCGCGTTGCTACGCCAGGCTTTTCCGAGCCGGCGTAGCTTTCGGCAGTGTGTAATTTAAGTATTGTTTGAGCCGGTTAACGAGGTGACATGGCGCTAACGTGCCGGTCATCTCGTTTAGACTAGTTTCGCGTGTTATTAGTAATAAGTGATTTGTACTCTCGTCGGCACTCGAGGTAGTGCATTTGTAATAAACGGTTCGTCAACGAGTTGTGTGTGAAATCATTTGCCCGCTGTTCTCTTTCCTGCTTTGCTTGGAGCGATACACCGCCTCCCTTGCCTTCCCCCTTTATAAATAATTGGTAATAGTAGTGAATATATCGGCATTGCACACCGACACTATTACACTTTTCTCTCTCTTCCTCTCTATAATCCATCACTATTCTATTATTATTACATTTATACGTATGTTCTTCAATGCTTACCGGGAACTTCTTCCACACCGTAGAGTAACTTATAAGGTAAGCGAGAAAGAGACAGACGCACTATGACAAGCGGGCATTCGTGTTTCGGAGAGAGACAGTGTCAGATAGTTTTGTAACCGTCTTATTAGCGGTAAGCTAGTTAAATGAAGGACGAAGAGAAAAGGCTCCTCATCGCCATGCCAATCAATATTGTTATCGATTTCGACCAGTAAAGTGTTGTACCGTCCTATCTTAGTGATTTGCATAGCTATAATTGGCTGCAACAAAATATTAGACGAATAACATATTGATAATATCATCGTGCCGTTCACCAACATTCGTCTTGCACTCTAGCAGAGATTTAGCGATTACGCGGCCAATTAAAAATTCCTGTATTGAGAACGACAGCGAATCACGCCGAATGTAAGTACTTACTCGATAGCTGCCTCTCTTCAATTTACTGCTTTCTTACATAAGGTCTGTCTCACTTGCCATCTTCAATGTATTTTTTGACTTGTCATTACATAATCTTAATATACATACTTCTGGCATACGTCTTCTTCATGCTTAATCCACGCGTGACCTAATTCGTCTTCCTTGTTGGTTCCTTCGTTACGATCGTGCTTATCTTTATTCATGAATGTCAGCTGGCGATTGTTCGCACGATGCTCTTCGCCAGATTAGTAAATATAATTTCGCTGTACAGGCAAGTAGAACTATTGGGTCAGGTTTCACTATAATCCCAGTGGGACTGGCAACATGTCGTTATCTTTTTCTCTCTCTTCAATAATTATTTTATGTGACGTTTGGCTCGCAAAATTGACGATTCCGAGCAAAAACCCTATTATAATATATAATTTTTTCACAACTAAGCTAATGAACCTTGATAAACTTATCATTTGTTCGTGTACTTTAATATGTTTATTAATATCTTGTGTTTGTATTATGTAAATTTAACATTTATTATTTTTGTACGTTTGGTGGAACAGATGTACGCCATCGTGTGGGCAGTGGATCTAGTAACAAAAATAGGTGATTTGGAAGTATTTATACTACTAGTGTCATGCATCTGTCATGATCTTGACCATCCAGGCTATAACAACATCTATCAAATAAATGCACGTACAGAGCTGGCACTTCGTTACAACGACATTTCACCTCTAGAGAATCACCACTGCTCAGTTGCATTTCGCGTTCTAGAAGCCCCGGCATGTAATATTCTAGCATCGTTTGACTCCATTACTTATCGAACTGTACGCGAAGGTATCATACGTTGCATACTTGCTACTGATATGGCCAGACATAATGAGATTCTTGCTGAATTCACTGATGCTATGTCCGACTTTGACTACACTAGTACAGCTCATGTCAATCTTGTAAGTATCTATCTCTAAAAGCCAATATAATTTTTAAATATAAATTTATCCGAATTTATTCGACAGAATACAAAAAAATATAAAATTTTTCAAGATAATTTTAATTCAATAATTTTTAATTGACGTATAATATTTTTTTAAATATTTCGCTAGTATTTATATTGCTGTTGCATACTACATACAATGACGTTAACAGTACTCTATGATATCCGTCAAATGGATTTAAAATAAGTAACAGAATTACAATTTTCATATCACATTTTACTACTTGTATTTTATACGATTATGAACAGAAATGTTTTAAGATCGTTTCTGAATATCTTTCACGTGTCGACTCAATATTATTAATCAATTGTAAATCAATAAGTCATTATTATACGACTGTTAAAATCTGTCACGGGACTTCTGTTCAAGATATTTTGAATAAAAACCGAAACATAAGTTTGTTGTTATTCGCAAACAAAAATTATATATAGCGGGCGTTGATGTAATCCTGTGCAACACTGCTCCTGCATAGGTACATTCAGAGTTCATCTGTCTCAGATTGCCTCCTTCGTTGAGAGAGAAATCAACCCGCGGAGAGTGTAGTGAGCTACGCAAAAATCAACCGGAGAGTAATCAAGAGAGAACGAGGCGCGAAGCAATAATGCGACCGAATATTATAGGAAGAGTGGGAGCAGTATAGTTAATAACTCAGCACAAACTTCAAGTGAACAGTAATCTGTATTGACAAGAGGAAAGTTAATACAAAAAAAAGCAGAGTACAAAACTCGGAGCAAATCGAGCGAAGTGCATGCCTCACATAGCTTAGTATAATACGAGCACTCGCAAACACGCACTAAAGATGAATAGGTATTGCGCACATATCACGTAGATCGATGGAATGCAAGCTGACATCACGTTGTGAACCGCCGCTGAAAGCGAACCGTCTTAGTCCGTCGCACTCACAGACTATCTTCAATCGGCACGACCAAGTGTCAATACGCAACGCAACGAAATGATAGTATGCGCCCGACACACTAGACGTGGTAACAAGCGAATCAACTAGAAAAATATATACAAGGCAAGTGTGGGGAGAGAAAGTATGAGAGAGAGAGAAAGCCAAGCATCAAGCTCGTACTTACAGTGCTGGTCACTCGCTGAATTCACAGAGATACAATAGCGCACTCGCTCCACGAGGCTAGTTTTGTCTACGTATATGTTTCCAGTCTCACAGTTTTTACTTTTAGCATCCGCTCAGATCCCCGATAGTCACTGTCTATCCTGCTAATCGCGCATGTGGCTGTTTTTCTGCTGTTCTTACATCAATGCCTTAGCGTCGCCCTTCAATTGTTCACCCTTCACACGAGGTATACGAGGTCTGTTCAAAAAGTATCGCGAATTTTGAATTTCCGCGGGCTACGTCAATTTGATTTTTGATTTTTTTGTAGCGTTATGTTGGTACTCATGTCCCTTACTTATGTTGACAAGGTCAGACATTTTTAATGTGTAGTTAATTTTTGACAGCTGTTTTATTTGGATGTGTTTCGGCTCGTTTTCGATTTTTGCCTATTCTAAAAAATGGATCAAAGAATCTGTATCAAATTTTGTGTGAAAAACAAAATCAAGTGCGCGGACGCATTCCGAATGTTGATTGTGGCATATGGTGAAGCTAACTTGGACCAAAGCAACGTTTATCGGTGGTATGAAATGTTCTTAGAGAGCCGAGAAGATGTAAACGACCAACAACGAACGCTCCAGCACGTCAACAACAGACGAAAACATTGATAAAGTGAAGAAAATAGTATTGGCCAATCGTCGAATCAGTGTTAGAGAAGTTTCTGAGAATCTAAATATATCGATTGGCTCATGCGGTTCGATTTTAACCAATGATTTGGGCATGAGTTAGGTCGCCGCGAAATTCGTGCCAAAACTGTTCAATTTCGACCAAAAACAACATCGCGTTAACATTGCTCAGATGTTAGACTCGGTCAGTGACTACCCAAATGTGCTCCAGAGGATTATAACTAGTGATGAATCATGGGTTTATGGTTATGATGTGGAAACCAAAGCTCAATCATTCTAATGGATTCTACCGCATGAGCCAAGATCGAAAAAAGCTCGCTAAGTTCAGTCGAACGTGAAATTTTTGCTCACAGTTTTCTTCGATTACAGGGGCGTGGTGTATCATGAGTTCTTGCCACAGGGATTATGGTCAATAAGGAATATTACCTGCAAGTTATGCGCAATTTGCACGAAACAATCCGCCAGAAACATCCGGATTTATGGAAGAATAAAAACTGGCTTTTGTACCATGATAACGCCCCTGCTCACACATCGTTACTTATGCGCGAATATTTGGCCAAAAACAACACAGTAATGGTGCCGCAGCCACCGTATTTCACAGACCTGGTCCACTGTGACATTTTCCTGTTCCCAAAATTGAAGAGGCCCATGAAAGGACGACGCTACGCCATGATTGAGGAGATAAAGATGGCATCGAAGGAGGAGCTGAACAAGATCGCAAAAAATGATTTTTTTAAGTGCTTCGAGGATTGGATAAAACGTTGTCACAAGTACATTATATCCGAGAGGAATTACTTTGAAGTAGATAAAATAGATATTCATGAATAAATAAATAATTTTAAAATCATACAAAATTTCCCGATACTTTTTGAACAGACCTCGTACACTTGTTGCCGGCTGATAGCCAATTGTCTTAATTGCGCCTATTCTCTCCTCTCCTCGGGACAATCGCATCTCCGCGAAGGTGTGCGTCGCGCTTTTACTATCGACTATCAAACGATGGACGCGTCACTTACCAATTCGCTAACGTCTACGCTGCAAACATCTTATACAAATAAATACATAGCAATATTACAAATATATTTATTACTGGCTTCGTGGAGAGAGAGGAACATAACGAACTACAAGCCGTTCGTTATATCTCCCTTTCCCAGACGCTGGTTGCCAGAGGGTACCAGCTCGAAACCTGGTCTCTCTCTCTCTCTCTCTCTCTCTCTCTCTCTTCATGAGCATACCAGGGTAGTTATTATTAAATAACTCTAAGGCTAGAGAAACTACGCTTAAGTACAGAAACACCTCGACGAATGGAAATCAGAGAACTCAGGGAAGTAAGAACTCTCTCCTTTACAAAGAGTAAGGTTTATTTGTCGTGCAAAAATAAAAAGAAGTTAAATGAATAAATAAAAGATATTTTTTTATTAATATGATTTTGGGGCGTAGCTCCTTACAGAGGGTTACGCGTATTCGCGTAACAATCTAACAATTTTGTAACGCAAAGACGAGTGCGTCATCGCTAGAGCGCACACGCTTAACGGCTTCAGCGCGCGCTTAGCTCACCCTCCGAATACGCGTACGGCGGGTAACGTTCAGACAGCCATCCCGGGTGATGGACAAAGTTGAGGCAATCCATTGAGCGTGACATCCGATCAGACGGCATAAATTGCAGAACCGTACCCCCACTAGATCTTTGCGTGGTCCCTCCCACTTGCCACAGGGCTTTGTTCTTAGCCCTATAGAGGTTATTAGCCCCCACATAGACTGGTTCTCTCTTTAGTCCCTCGGTGACAACAGAGAAGCTAGAAGTTAGGCTTTCTGGACGCCTAGGCAGTAAAGCTACGACCAGGGGGGTTGGGTTTGGGACCGGAAGTTGAAAACGAATCAAACAACGGATCTCTTGTCTCAGGACTTATCCTCCACTTGAAGAGGCTGCTCCCGACGATAACCCTCAGCTGAGTAGTCCAGGAGTACCATTTGAACCCGGAGATGGTCCATCTCCCGCTGTTTAATCACCATGGCCTCAGCGAGTATCCACTTCTCTTTCTCGATTCGGCGACGTTCCATCAATACAATGCGCTGCTCAGCGAGGTACACCTTTGGTTCCTTTCCCGCTAGATTTTGTAGGCCTGTTCGTTGATGTGCTCCTTTGTCGCGGGTCCGCTGGCCTCGAGGAAGCCAACGCCCGAGTAAGAAGAACGGTCTCGCGAAGGGAGTGACATAACAAACTACAAACCGTTCGTTATAAATCAAAGAAGTATGCCAGATAAAAATATGTTCAATATTCTGATTAATATTAACATGTTGAGAGTTGTGAGTGTTAATCAAAAGAACATGTTATTTTTCGTTCCTCCGCATACCTTTGGGCAATTCTTGGCTATTTCAAACAGTTTAAAACTTCAAATCACCAATTTTGTTCAAAGTTGGTAGACTTGTTATCTATACTGAGGTCAACATCTGTGCAGAGTTTTAGATCAAAATATTGATAAGGGGCCGACTTATCAACTGTTGAAAAAATATTGGACTTTTTTTTATTAATTCGGTTTCTCGGAGACTAATAATGATATGGACATGATTCTTTTTTTAAAAGACGCGGAAAGAGTTTCACTTTTAAAATGTAAATAATAAAATACCAAATCATTTATTTATGCCATTGTTATAAACAATTTTTTCAAAAAATCGACGATATCTCAAAAAACGATATTTTTTTTTTAATTTTTGTACCATCGTGTTCCTTGTTATTTTTGACATAAGAAACCGTTGAGAAAATTGAGTGCCCGCTATTAGGATTAAGATAGCACTAAAATGAAACGAACCGCGCGCTAGCCGCTCGGCCGTCTGCTACTCGTGCGGTTCCAACGTTGCTTGCTGCAATTGCCTTCTTTAAAGAATAAATAATTTCATATTCTAACAGTCTATATGTATTTATTTAAATAATATATAAATGTATTAATTAAGTAAATGAACTATTTTTTTATACAATCTGATATAATATTGAAATTAAACATTTGCTCTCTGCGTTTGAGCGGGCTTGAGACCGACGCATATTTAGGATGCGGCCGCATTAAAAATGTTTTTTTTTATCGGACCTACACCACAATACTCTTAATAAGTTATTTACAAGTAATTTTACAAAAAAAAAACCCTTTAAATTATGCGTCTTATTTCAAATTCAGAAGAGTATGAAGTTTTTCTTACTTTAATTTCCGTTGTATTGTCAT